CATCACATCAAAGTCAACTGAAACTAACACCCTCTAAGTATACCCTCTTTTAAATGTCATAACAACATTACAGTTCTCAGGAGTTAAAAGTGTCATCTTCCCTTGTAGGGATGTAAACAGTTGGGCCCTATTAATGTTTTTTTCTTTCTTGTTTACTTATTTATGGCTCTCTTGAGTCTTATATTTGAAGATCAAATTTCCTGTTGAGCTCTGGTCTTTTCATCAGGAAGATTTGGAAGTCCCCTATTTGGATGAATATCCATCTCCTCCCCTAAAAGTTTATGCTCAGTTTCACTGGGGAGTTGATCCTTGGTTGTAATACAAGCTCCTTTGCCTTACAAAAAATTGTATGCCTTGCCCTCCAATCTTTTAATGTAGAAGTTGCAATATCCTGCATAATCATGATGGTGGTTCCATGATATTTAAATTGTTTGTTTCTGGCTACTCATAATATTTTCTCTTTGATCTGGTAATTTTGAAATTTGGCTACAATATTCCTTGGTGCTTTCAATTTGGCGTCTCTTTCAGGAAGTGACTGGTGAATTCTTTGGTTGACTAATTTACTTTCCTCTGGTTCTAGGACCTCAAGGGAGTTTTCTTTGATAATTTCCTAAAGGATGTTGTCCAGGCTCTTTTTTTCATCATGGTTTTCAGGTTGACCAATAATTTTTAAATTGTCTCTCCTGGATCTATTTTCCAGGTCAGCTGTTTTACCAATGAGGTATTTTATGCTTTCTATTTTTTTCATTTTTTTAAATTTCTGTTTTACTGATTCTTGCTCTCTCATATAGTCACTAGATTCCGCTTGCCCCATTCTAATTTTTAACGAGTTGTTTTCTTCTATTAGATTTTGTATCTCCTTTTCTTTTTGGCCCATTTTACTTTTTAAGGACTTTTTTTCTAGCTAATTTTTGTCCTTCCTTTTCCAAGCTATTGACTCTCTCTTGCATACCTCTCATTTCTTTTCCCAATTTTTCTTCCATCTCTCTTATTTGACTTTTAAAATCCTTCTTGAGCTCTTTAAGGTGGCTTTTTGAGCTTTGGATCAGTTTATACTCCTCTTTGAGGTTTCAGATGTGGGTATATTGACAATGTTGTCCTCTTCTGAATTTGTGCCTTAATCTTCCCTTTCCCCAAAATAAGAATCTATGGTCATTTTCCATTTCTGCTTTTTGTTCATAGTGTTTGCCTATATTTTTTTTTACCCAAGTTTCTTTTCCTGCTCATCAGGGCCTTACACTTGAATGTTTGGCTCCTGCTGGCCTGGGCCTTGTACAAGGATGTTTCGTTGTTGATGGAGGTCTGTCAGCCTGGAGCTTTGCCTTCTGGAGTTGTGCATCCTAGAGTTGTATTGAGGCACGGTGATTTCACTGCTGGAGAATGCTGTAGTCTGTGGTGGTTTTGTGAGCTGGTGTGTCTACTGGTTCCTCTGCCTGTATTGAGTCTCTGGCGGGGGGGTCCTGGTGTTGGCACTTGCCTGTTCCACCAACCTGGGTCTCAGGAGCTCCTCCTTGTATGCTGAGATGGGGCTTGCTTGGACACCTCCAGTTCTGTACTGCTCCCCCTCCCCCAGGGCCTTTCCCATTAATCCCCCAAACTTCCTGGGGTACAAGACTGCTGTGCCTTATCTTTTTGCTGGCTCAGGGTTTTTCCTAGGTCGATATTTTCTGGGCTTTCTGGTCAATGAGGGAGGGTGAGAGTAACTAACTTCTTACTCCTTCATCTGAGCTCCATGAAGTGGAAGTCAAGGTTCTTTGTTTCTTTTGCTCTGTACTGTTGTGTTTTTAAAAATGAAGGAGATACAGGCATGTTTGTACACAGTAAGGAAGACACAAATAGATAAGGAGATTAAGAATCAGAGAGAAAGGATGAGAAGGCACAATAACCCAGAGGAAATAGGAAAGTGAAAGGATTGAGGATACAAGGAGAAGAGGTGATGGAATTTAAGAGAAAAGGCCATTTCTTCTTTGGAGACCATGGCAAAACAGTAGGGAGTGATGTAGCGGTGATTTAGAATATAGGATTGAAGATAATGGGTTTACAATGGATGACCTCAATTTTGGAGTGAAGGTATCTGTTCAGAGCCAGGGAGATGGGGTAGGTTAGGTAGCTTGGAGAGAGAAGAAAAGCTTTGGATCAAATAATGACAGAAGGGAGAAAGTCCATTCATAAAGGGTAAACAAACTGGCACTTAGCAGTGAGGGCTAAGTCTAAATTACAAAAGATAGCTTTAGAATGGACCCAATTAGCACAGCTGTGTGACTTTTTCATTCCTATTCAGCAGGCTACAGGTAGGAATAGAAAGTGAAGCTGTCAGCAAAGTTCTAGAGGAATGAATGTACAAAGGTACAAAGAACTCCAGGGAGAGGAGAGTGTAAAGTTGAACTGGTTGAATTTGGCCTAAAATTTTGAAGGAGGGAAAGTAAGCCCAGAACAGGATAATGAATGGTCTGGGAAAGCAAAGAAGGGTGAAGGAACTGGAGGTTGTGAGCAAAGACAAGTTTAGGAGGAGTGAAGCATGAAAAGAGACTCTGATCAGATGGGTGTATACAAGAATAATGACAGTAGTGTGTTAGGTAATGATAACACCATCCCTGTGCATGGTTGCAATAAACTGAAGATGCAGACCTGGGAGATGAGGTCCATGAACTGTGAAGCATATGTATTTGAGCAGACATATAAATTGAAGTCCTTATGTACAATGCCTACATGTGATCTGACCATGGCAGGTTATAGCAGCACTATCATCTCTACTCCTGGAAGGTCTGCCCTTTTTTTTTTTTTTTTTTTTTTGTTAAGGTCTGCCTTTCTTAACACAGTCCAAGACTGCATGTCATTTTTGGGCTACTACATTACACTGTTAATCCATACTGAGTTTGCAGTCAACAAATACTCTGAGACCTTCCTCAGACAAACAACCATGTAACGATACCTTTCCCTCATATCTAGTTCTTGTGAAGTATATTTCTTAAAGTATATTTCTTAAAACCAAGTATAAAACAATGCACAGCAATACTTACCACAATACCCATATTAAATTTCATTTTGATAAACTGAATCAAATTTTCTATACCTACAAAGATATTTTGGGAACCTGATTCTGCAGTCCAGTGCATATACTACATCTCTTCAATTTGTGACATCTGCAATTTTGATAACAAGGCCATCTTTACCTTTATCCAAGTTATTGATAAAAATGTTAAAGAGCATAGTGGAGCAGGGAATATTTCAATAGAGATCTCTGTCTAATATCAACTACATAGAACCATTAATGACTATTCTTTGAGTCCAGACATTCTACCAGTTTCAGATCCATCTAATTTTTATCCTCATTTAGCTCACATCTCTCCAGCTTGTTCACAAGAACAGCATGACACACTTTGTCAAATGCTTTGCTAAAATCTAGGTAAACTGTATCTACAACTTTTCTCTGATTTACTTGACAGTCTGGTTACCCTGGGTTTACAGGACACTCTTTTTCATATATGCTTTTGTTCCTACATAAAGTTTGTTTGGAAATATCTCTCTCCACTCCCCCACCTAGCATGTGACATGAGATGCAGTATCTCACACTCAAAGTCCTTCAAGCCAGCAATAAGAGGAGGCAGGAACATTTCCTCCACTTTCTTCCAGAATCACGCTTGGCCATCAAGATTAGTGTTTAGGCTTATTTTACTGCTCACATGACTTCATTTACACTGCTGTTGCTCACTGAGTCTCTCGTCGTCCCGCACACTGCGCTCTATGGTAATTCGTATACATCCTCCATGTTTTTCTGAATTCTTCACCTTTGTCATTTCTTACTGCACAGCGATACTCACCACAGAGTATTTAAATAGGCGTCTACTTTGTTTCCATTTCTTTGTTACTCAAAAGTGTTACTATAGATGTGGCGCTGCTTTTAGTTCTGCATTTGTTTCCCCAGTATTTGGTACACAGAGTCTACGAGTACCACAGGCATTTAATAAAATCTTCTGCAATGACTGACTGGACTACCAATGGGATCTCTCAGTCAAAAAGATATTTTAACTCCACCATGATGCAAGACTGGGGTAGAACTTCTATGGGGATGAATTTTAGACTGTAGCTCAAAAGATTTGCATTTAAAATGACCACCTGTCCCCATGACAGGCAGCTGCAAGTTCTGTAAGGCATTACCTATTGCCATTCAGTTAAAAACTACTCACCTCCCTAAACAAATGATGACTCTCTTTTTCAGTAATATATAAGTTCACTATCTTATGATATTACCCTCCAATCACACTTACTTTCCTTCTTTGAACTCCTATTACATTTATTACCTATCATAATTGGGTAGCACACAATTATATACACATGTAAATTATAAACATATATTTATATGTATATATATTTATATGTATGTACATGTATGATTTAAACTATATTTACATAATGTAAATTTTTACATAGTACTGTTTTCTTAAGTGTTTCAATTGTGTACGTTCTGCTTTCCCAAAAAGATCGGGAATTTGTACGAAATGGTGTGCTATACTAATTTTTATATCCCTAAAGTGGCTAATATAATGTATCGTAGTATAAAAAATAGTAGGTGCTCCATAAAATTTTCTTAATTGATAGACTGGAGAAAATTGCACTTATTGTCATGTGAAAAAGAATGTCATCAATCCTTAGTGTCACAGTTTCCAAGCCCTGGTTCTGGGCTGGTTATTTCAAGTGCTAAAATATCATGAAGTCAAGCCACATATAAGCCAGTTTATTTCATTCCATTCCATGGTCACTGATTGCACTTGTCCTCTTAACCTACTGCTCAAAAACTCTCAAGAAGCAGGTAAAAGGGTCTCAAGAGATCAATGCAAATACATTACCCTTATTGGAAAGATAGAGTCAAGCATAGCTAATGACAGAAAGTCAATGGTATCCTCTAAAGGACAGCTCATTATTATCATCTCTTCCCCCTTCCCACTTTTGCTCTTAAGCTTTATCCTAGCCTAGACAGAACCTAATGCAGAGAAGCCTACCAGAATTGTGGGTGGATTCTGTGACTCATCCCGGTCAACGTGATTTCTGGAATTAGAAGAATACATTCCATTTATTCAATTTTTAAAGTACCCATCAGCAAACAAGCTCAGCCAAAAAAGTTCTAATAAACAGGTTACAAAATTAATAATTACAGTAACTTAAATGAGCATATTTAAAATTTGTTTAATCAAGGCATATTAAGCAGAGAAGTATTTACTTGTTTCTGGAAGACTATAGGGAATAGAAAGAATTTTCAAAAGAAGTCTATGAAAAATGCTTAGATTACAGTTAGAGATACTTTACAAGCAAGAACTTCTAAGTCAGACAGTACCTCTGCCCCAGTTTAGGCTAGGCTTAAGGAAGATGAAAATGCCCCTGTTGGCCCCACTTTATACTGAAAAATATTTCTTGCTCTGGGGAGAGGCACAGTTGAGACTTAAGTTGACTCTCCTTAAAACAAGTAATACATATTTTAGGCTTTTGAAAGCCTATCTTCAATGTATTACTTACACACTAGTTATAGTTTAATATAAGTAATTAATAAACTTAATATGAGGATCAATTAAAAGGAATAATATTTAGAAACAAGTTGTTAAGGAAATGATCACATATATTCTCTGTGGAGGACTATACTGTTCCAAAATCTTTTAACCAGACAAATACAAAACATAAGTTCCTTATAAATTGTCACATCCTCCAGAAAGCCTCCCCAGATGCTCTTTCTGGAAATGATCTTTCCTTGGGACAGTAAGATCATCTATTTAGAGTTAGAAGAGACTTCAGATTCTAACTAGTTCAACCTCTTCTTTTTACAGATGAAGAACTATAACCTAATGACATTAAGTGAACTGCCTAATTATACCCTAACAGGTAAGTTAACAGATTGAGGATTTGAATCCTTCTTGGGCTCAAACCAACATAGCACTTTTGGTCTTGAAATAGAAGTCAAGTACATATAGTCCCCTCAGAGGCAAGTCAAATGACAGACAATGCAACAAAGATAATAAAGTATTAGACTTGGGGGTTCAGAAAATCAGGATTAAAATTATGCCTCTGATACTGGACCATGGACAAGTCCCTGAACATCTCAGAGTCTCAGGCAACTCTCACAATCACAGAATTTGAAAACTGTAAGGGAGCTCAAGGCCATTTAGTACAACTCCAGTAGAGGAATCTCCAGCAGAACATACAACATGCAGTCATTTGGCCTCGAAGACCTCCATCGAGGGGTCAGCTCCCACTACATGAGGCAGCCTGTTTCACTCCGGGACAGCTGTAATTCTTAGGAAGCTTTTTTCCTGACGTTAAGCCTGAATTTACATTTTGCACCTTCTCCTCATCACCCTGGTTTTGCTTTCTAGAGCTAAACAGAACAAGTCTGACCCTTCCTCCACATGAGCGATCAACTTACTACTTATCTACTCAGTTCTTGACTGTTTTGGAAGAAGGAATTCCAGCACCCTCAGAATGACACTCCTTGATCATCTGGTAAATAGGTCAGGACTTCCCTGCTAGTCTGTAAATTAATTCTCTCTGCATCTTCTACGGTGCCTAGTACTGCATTTTGTGCAAACCAGGCACTTAGTGGTTGCTCAATGCATCAAAGGATGAGAGAATCTTGAGATAAGACAGGAGCTCAGGGTTCACATGGTAATTGCTCCTACAACATGCCTGACAAGAAGCTGTCAAGCCTCTGTGTGGATAACACCTAGTGATGGGAAACTCATGACAACATTTTAAAATTTATTATTTGCTATCATGAACTTGTCAAACACCAATGTGTTTATGTCCACATAAAAGGAAAAAGGTTTGTGTGAAAACACGATTCTCTATTACATACTTATTTTTTAAAGCATACTGTAAGTTCAAGATGTTAGTCCCAAATCTGTCCCATCTGTAACTCTCTCTGAATTTATTTTTATTTTCTTCTGCACACTTAAACAATGCTTTATTGACACTCCCTGTTCTCTCTTTTTTTTAGACATCCCTGTAACTACCCCTTCCCCCAAATCCCCTCAAATAAAGTTTTAAAAACACTCCTTCATAATAAGTAAGCATAGTTGAACAAAAAAAATGCACACACTTTCCACGTCCAAAAATGTATGTCTTGTTCAGAACCTCTGTTCCAATCACCTCTGATAGGCCAGGCCTGATTTAAACTGGCATGGTCATTAGACTCAGAATTGTGATGAAATGAGACACTCATAGCATAACTGTCAGTTAAGAAGAGGAAGTTTATTTAGCCATAGCATGAATAAAATATTTAGGAAGGAAATAATATTAACTCAGCTGAATGTTGGCCATGTTGGTGCAACAGTCAATGCTGAGGGACAGTAATTGGTGTCTCTTTATAGGCTGGCTTTTGTATTTGAGCCAGCCAGAAGCTAGGTCAAATACTTGATACTTAATCCCCTGAACCAATTAAGTTTCAAGAATACCTTTTAAATACCTAGCCTATATGATAGATATTGCTCCTCCTACATCACAGCCCTGGGAGACAAAGGTCCGGAGAACTTTATAATTTAAGTGCCTTTGGGGCAGTAACTGACAGTCCTAATTTCAGGGACAGGAAAAGCACAAAATAAATAACCTTGAGGGTAGAAAATAAAGAATAAAACTGAAACATGGAAAAAAAATAATGAATGTAGAAGCAAGGAGGTGGTACAATGGATAGAGTGTGGACCTGGAAGTAGGAAGAACTGAGTTCAAAACCTGCTTCAGACACCTACTAGCTATGTGACCCTGGACAAATCACTTAATCTCTTTCAATCTCAGTTTTCTCACTGGTAAAATGGAGATCACAATAGCACCTAACTCACAGTGTTGTTCTAAAGATCAAAGGAAATAACATGCATAAAGCATTTTGAAAATCTTAAAGTACTATATAAATGCTAGTTATTTTTTTTATTGCTATAGTTATTAACAGTCCCCTGAAGGAGTGACAAAATAAGGTAAAGAGTGAAGACCAGAAATCCAAGGTTTCCCTTTGACTCTTGAAGAAAACTGAGTCCTTGATCTGGTACATGGGGTGGGTAATGATAAATTTTTGTAATTCACAGTGGATCTCCTGATATAAAACACTAAATATAAATGGGTATAACACTAGGAATATTAGGGCTCTGGCAAAGGTGATAATAACCTGTCATAGCCACTGTTCCTTATCGTGGCCCAAGGTTATCTGTAGTAAGTTAGCTAAGAAGTCATTAGCCTCTCCAGTGCCAAGGTTGACCCTGAAAATCATCATGTACAATTATATTCCCCAACCCACCAGCTAAGTCCCTCTCTCCTCCCTGGGAGCCCCATGGGCAGTGGAAGTGAATTTTAAATCTTCGCCCCTTTGTAGGCCTCTGATTGCCTCCCTGCTTATTTCACAAGGAATTGGTAAACATTTTTATCTTCCCCACCAGCAGAAAGTAAGTCACCTCCCAAAACCATGCCCAGTATTCTATGCCCTTCCTGGGAAACCATACTGGTAACAATAAAACATAGCCCCAACAGGTCCAAATTACAGTAAGCAAAAGGCTACTGCTAGGGCCCACTTCTATTGCCTGTTACTGCTGAGAAGTATGACGCTGACCATGCCACCCATGGCCCACTGAGGCCTGTGATGTTGCCCATAGCCTCTGTTGTCCATTCGTCTGTTTCCCAGTTACTGGGCCGAGAAAAGCCTCCCCTTTGCTAGAACCAAAGGTTGCCAAAGGTACAGACAATGACCCCTGGTACAAGGCTAAGCAAAGTCTTTCTATGCCAAAGCTGAGAAATGCTACCCACCTCACCCACCACGTCAGAACCTGAGAACTGTCCGGTGCTGGGCCATTCTGAGGGGAACATTTTGCTGGGCTGACCCCTGGTTCAAATGCTGCCATTGCTAGGCCCGAGTCCTATTCCTCTCTGGTGCGCCTGATTGCTGTCACCCTGTGTCTAGCTGAGTTTTGCTTTGGTCTCCTCTACCTGCACTGGGACTCATTCAAAGGATCAAGCTTTATCCTAGCCTAGATAGAACCTAATGCAGAGAAGTCTACCAGAACTGTGGATAGATTTTTTGACTCATCCTGGTCAAGTTGTTTCTGGAATTAATACAATACATTCTATTTTTTCAACTCATTATTGATAGCTTGGATTCACTCCTCTGAAAACTGCCTATTTCTTATCCTTTGACTATTTCTCAGTTGGGCATGGCTCTTATTCTTACAAATCTGACTCAGTTCCCTACATATCTTACGAGACTTTTATCAGAGAAAATTGCTACAAAGATCCCCCCCCAATCTCCTGCTTCTCTTCTAATTTTATCTGCATTAGTTTTGTCTGTGAAAAAACTCTCTGAATTTTATGTAATTGAAAAATTGTCCATTTTACCTTTTGTGAACCCCTCTCTCTCATTTGGTCATGAACTCGTCACCTATCCATAAACCTGACAGGTAATTTTTTCCATGCTCCTCTAATTTGCTTATGATGTCACCTCCTAATATATTTTGGATAAGATGTTTATTAGAGGGGGCAGCTAGATGGTGCAGTAGATCAAGCACCAGCCCTGGAGTGAGGAGGACCTGAGTTCAAATCCGACCTCAGACACATAACAATCACTACCTGTGTGACTCTGGGCAAGTCACTTAACCCCAATTGCCTCACCAAAAAAAGAAAAAAAAAATGTTTATTAGAGAAACTTAAGGCAAGCAATTTTCCCAGTTAACTATTCCTTATAATTTTAACTACACTGATTTTTCTTATGCAAAAGCTTTTCAACTTATGTAACATAAACTCCATTTAATCTTGCTCCTAGAATCTCCTATAACTCTTCCACAGCTAAGAAATGCGTATGCTCCTTTTTATTCCCATTCAGTAATCACCAGTCAACTACCATACCTAACTTTCCTAAAATCTAATCATAACCTTTACTTCTTTTTACTTTCATTTTATTTGTCTAGGTCTGAAAGAGGACACAATGAGGCCTCCCAACCATTATAGTTTTGTTTGCCATTTTTCCCTATAATTTGATTAAATTTCTTCAAAATAATTAAAGGCTATGCCATTTAGTGCATATAGAATATTTATATTATTTAATTATGCTTTTAAGTATAATTTAATTCCTTTATCTCTTTTAATTACTGATGCCCTATCTGAAATCATGACTGTTGGCCTTTCTGAATTGGTCTCAAGCATGATAAAGTCTGCTCCAGCTCTTTACTTTAACTGTGTATGAATATTTAAGTGTGCTTCTTGTAAACTACATAGTGTTGGTGTCTACTTTCTAATCTATTCTGCTATCTTTTTCTCTTTTAATGCTGAGTTTATGTCATTTATCTTCATATTATGACTGTTTCATATTTTATATTCTTTTTTTTATTCCCTTCTCTCCTCTTTATAAAAGAGATGGTAAAAGAAAAGGAATGAGAGAGATATTAAGTCACCTGCAATTTAGATGTGATCTCCTTCTACACCCCTGCCCTTCCTCTCTTGGTCTCACCAAGACCCTCTTCTTTCTTTCTGGTTAAATCCCCCTTTAAGATCCATTAATCAGAACTAAAGTTGTTCTGGAGATTCCCTCCCTAATTTTGCCTGCTTTCTTAGGCCACATCCCCTTGCCTATTTCCAGATTTTATTGAATTTAAACACAAAAACTTTGTCACACATTCAATCCTTCTCTATCCAATGAAGATAAGAATAAGGATCATGTGATCCATGTTCTTCACACCCCTTCCTCCATGTTTTCATACTCTTTACGTGCATAATTTTGAGAACGAGTAAATTCTCAAAAACTTATTTCCCTTGTTCCCCTGCTACATTTCAGCTTCCCTTTATATGTTGCCTTACCCTTCCATGAGATTTTAAGCTTCTGGAGGGCAGGGGTCTTTCTTTTTCTTATTTGTATCCCTAGTACTTAGCACAACACTAGCACAAAGGTGCTAAATAAATGTTAATTAAACTGAACTGATAAGTTCTACCCTTCCTTCCTCATTTCTTTCCTAGTGGATTAGTTTTTACCTCTTTTTTTTTTCTTTCTCCCTTAAGACTAAAACCACCTATAAGCCCTCTATCTTACTTTAACTCCTTCCGTGAAACATGAAGACATAAGAAATTGGAAGGAACACTCGTCACTTCAAAGTCCTCTCTTCCATTAAAGGTCCATTTTCTAATCCTTGCCAATTCTAGTGTAATCCTGACTACAGTTTTTTTATATATTTTTTCTTTGACCTGGTAGCTCTGTAACATTCCTGGAAGTTTTCATTTGGGGTGTCTTAGGAGGTGACTAGCGGATTCTTTCTGTTTCAATCTGCCTTTTGGTTCTAATAGATTTAAACATTTTCTATTTACAGTTTCTTGAAATACTGTATCCAGGGTTGTTTGTTTGTTATCATTTCACAGCTTTCAGGGAGTCTAATGATTCTTCACTTATCTCTCCTTGACATGTTTTCCAGGTCAGTTGTTTTTGATAGTAGAGACTTTCTTATTTTCTTCTATTTTTAAGCCTTTTGATTTTAGAGGTAGGTATTTGATAAATGTTTATTGCCTGATTGTTATATTTCCTCTCGTTGAGTTGTTTGCTTCATTCTAATTTTCAGAGAGTCTGCTATTTGCTCAAAGTTTTATACCTTCTAAAATATTTATTCTATTTCCAATTCTGACCTCCAGAATTCTTGCTTCACTTACAACTTCATTTTTATATCTTCATTTCTTCCAGGTACTTTTGCAGACTTTCTAGACAAGTCCTTTTTTAACTCTGATTCTCTGCTTATAGTTGTTATGAAGTTACTCTCTTCCTCTGGGTTTATTTCTTGGTTGTCCTTTGACACACAATAATTCTTCACAGTGTTTACTGTCTTCTGTTTACTCATATCTCTAGCCTAAGTTTCTGATTTGGAGACTTTGTGCCTCCTCATGAACTCTTGGATCATGGTTAGCCCCGTTTGGTTCTGGCCGTGTTTTCCTCAGCTCCTTTTATATTTCACCTCTCCTAGTGTGTCTGTGCTTAGGTCCAGCAGGTTCCTGTCCTCTCTCACCTCTACAGATCATCCCAGGTCAGAGTTTTATGTTATTCAGGGGCCCCTGAAGCATCTCCAGTTGAGTACTGGAGACTCCTGGCCCCCTCAGGGCATCCAAATGAGAAAGATGTCACCTCTCCAATTTCTAAAAGTTGTGATAGTTTGGTATTCTAGAGCCAACAAGAAAACTCTTCCATGTGACAACCTCTGAAATGATCGAAGAAAATAATAATCATTCCCCCGGCCCTAAGTCTTCTCTACGCTAAACATACCCAGCTCTTTCAACCGATTCTTATATGGTGGGGTCTCTAGTTTCCTCTTCATTCGGGTTGCTCCCTCTCCAGTTTCTCTACAGTTTGTCATTAGATAAAATGTGTCATACAGAACTGAACACAATAATAAAGATGTGGTTTAACAAAAGGAAAGCACCATGGGACTATCACTTCCTTTATTATTATAGACACTCTCATTCAATTAATGTGGCCTAAGACTTTTCCTTTTGGCTGCCTACAATCCACTAACACAGTGAACAAGCAATCTGAACTTCTGAAAGAGTAGAATATATGGCCCTTGAGGGTAGGGACTGGTTTTTTGTCTTTGTATCCTCAGAAGCTAGCTTAATTTCTGGCACAGACTAAAACACTTCATATTTGTTGACCTGAACTGAGGTTGAATACCCAATTTTTCCTATGTGTGTGCAGTTGGCTCTTTAAACCCAAGTGTAAATCTTTCCATTTATCCATCCAAAATTTTCCCTGACGAGATTCGGCTCATATTTTCTAAATTTAATAGATTTAGACATTTTTTATTTATAGTTTCACAAGATTCTGGTAACAGCCCGAATCTAAGGGATTGCTCTTTACCTTCACGATCTAGGTGAATTTGTGAAGCATGGCACGGCATCAATTTATGCCTTCACTAAGCGAAGATGACCTTCTGGGATCATCTAGTCCAACCTCTACACATCTGACAAGTGCTCATGCAGTCTTTGCTTAGAAAGACACCTCCAATGAGACATAAATCCCACCTGAATGGCTTTAATCTGCCCAGTTCTGTCCTCCAGAAGCAATCCAAGCTTCCAAATGACAGCTCTTAACCTATCTAAAAACAGCTTTTACGTCCCTGAGTCCTCTGGGTAATCCTTTCGAATTCCTTCACTGATCCACCCAGGCTAAGAATTCTAGGCCCTTAGCTATCCCGTGGATTATTTCTCTTCACATGTTGTACCCTGTTGTCCTTTCTCCACTTCATTTTCAGTCTGAAACCCTCTGGATCATATTCACAGGTCTCCAAGCCAATATATCTTACCTGCCCTGACCCATAACTGCTATATGAACAAATGAATAAAATCGGTTAAGCCATTCTATAATTTCTCCCACTAGAGGTTAGAATGGCACTGACCTATAGTTGGCTCAGATTTGGAGGAACAAATCTTTTTCAACACTGAATTTTAAATGCCAATCACAACATACTGAATAGCATCATAGGATCACAGATCTAAAGCTAAAAAGTGATCTTAAAGGACAGGTTAGTCCAACAATCTTATTTTAAAAGTGCCCAGAGAAGTCAAAGAACTTGCCAGTATCACACATTTAGTCAGTATCAGTGTCAAGCTTCTACTAACACATTCTTCCTTTCAGATTCAGAGGTCTTTTAAATTTACCACTAACATCCAGAAAATAATCTTGGAAAATACTGTACATATATGTGTTTAATTCAGACCAAATTTTAAAAGAATTTAATAAAGTCTGAAAGTAGGAACTTAACTAAAATGCTATTATCAAACAAAGAAAAACCTAATAGCAAAGGTTGTTTTAAAAAAATGTATTCCAGAAAGATTTAAATAAGTCTCTAGCCATCTTACACAAAGCATAACATAGGAAGCACTTCATTTTGTCTTTGACTTTCATTCCAGACCCAGCGCAGGTCCAACATCCTGACATCCCTAGGAAGAAGGTATTTTACCTTCCTTGTCCTGACTTTTTAAAATGACCTCTCCAAATTCCCTGACCTAGCAATATGATTATTTGTATACATGTGGTACTTTCCCTATCAGATTCAAATCTCCTTAAGGTAAGCAATGAAGCTCAACATCTAGCACAGCAGGATTCAGGTTATAGGCACTTCAAATTTCTTAACATTCAAGAAAAATTAAGATTGAGAAAGTATTGAGACATTATCAAAAGAGGCCTCCAATAAAGCAATGAGGCATTTTTTAAACAACCATTTAAATTTTAAAGTTTCTAAAAAAAAGTATCCAAAATGACATCTGAGATACTTGTTGCTGCTAGGATATAAGTATCCTTATTAGTTTTTATGAACTCTCATAACATAGTTCAGGGTCAATTCAAACTCAAAACTATAAAATATAAACACACAGGAAATACCAATCCAAACACATGAGAAAGCAAAACAAAGACTAGGATCAATTTTCTCAGAGATTGTTCTCAAGTGTGGCACAGGCCTCCTCTCTAATTATTAGGGTTAATTTTAAAGGGTCATTACAATTCAAACATCTATCATAAATTATTATTTATATTAGTTGGGAATAGGTACAAATGTTAAAATATATACACATATTTTTAATTACCTGCTACAAATTTCCCCTGTAGGTGACATGTAAAAAATGTCAGGAATCACCTATGAACAGAATCCAAGATTAAGACCTTCTTAAGCAGTACTTAACACAATTTTCTAAATTAAAAATCTTAAGTCCAAAAGCAAAAGAAAAAAAAGGGTTGCTTACAAATGTGATTAATTGCACTTATTTTTTCCAAAGCACTTCCACACAGATGATATCATTTGATTTCTACAATAACCTGCAGGTAAGCAGTTCTTATTTTACAGATAAGAAAACTGAGGTTCACAGATGTTCATGTGGCTTGCCCAAAGTCATATAAAAAACCTGGAGCTGGGTAGGACACGAATCTACACTACGGGCACAAATGTGGATCATCTAAGGCTCTCCTAAGCACCTGAGCAAGCCCAACATGGTTCATCCCACAGGGCTCGATCCTCTGCCCTCTTCTCTTCTCCTTCCATCATAGTTGGGTGATCTCCTCAGATCCCCCAGATTTAGTTACTATATCTATGGTGATCCTTCTTAAATCAACTCATTCAGCCCTCACTTCTTTGTGGCCATCTCTGACAGGCATATTAAAATAAATAAACACAAAACTGAACTCCATCTCCTCCCCTAAACCCTTCCCCTTCCAAATCCCCTATTACTATTGAGAGCACCTCCATCATCTTCGTCCCCCAGGTATCAGACTTGACACCTCACTATCTCACCCTTCCCCCGTCTCTAATCTGTTGACAAATCCTGACAATTCCAGTTTCATAACTTTTCTCATACATGCGCCGGCATCTCGTCTGACACTGTCACCACCACGGCATGGGCCTTTACCACCATACACCTGGACTACAGGGGCCTGCCTGCCGCAAGTCTGTCTAATCTAATCCATCCTCCACTCAGTAGCCAAAGTGATTTTCCTACAGCGCAGACCTGACCACGTCACCCCCTTTTTCAACAAACTCTAGTGCCTCCCTGTCACCTCCAGGATCAAATATAAAATCCTCTGTTTGGCATTCAAGGACCTTCATAGCCTGTTGCCCTCCCTACCTTTTTTCTCCCTCCCCCGCCCCCACCACTCTTCAATCCAATGACACTGGCCTTCTCACTATTCCATGAACAAGACACTCCACTTCTAGACTCCAGGTATTCTTTCTGGAGTGCCTCCTCATGTCTGCCTCCTGACTTCCTTCACATCCCTCAAGTCCTAGCTTCTACAGAAAGCCTTCCATAACCCCTCTTATTCTCTAGCCTTTCTTCTGTGGTTTGTTTCTCACTTTGCTTGCTATCTTCTAGCTCCTTGGAGACAGAGACTGTCTCACTTTGTATCTGCAGTGTTTAGCATTGCCTGGCACACAGAAGGCATTTAACTCTTACTAGCCCATCACACGGTCTAGGGTTTCTGCCTTGGCCATCATCTTGCCCCCAATGCCTCTGTACAAAGATGACGATTCTCCTTGTGATTCTCTCATGGTGCTGAGAGCCTGGACATGGAAGGAAATCTTCAGGACCACTAACAAAGGACCAGTGCTCAAGCAGTCACGCACCACAGAACACAGGTTTTTTTGAAGTCGTGAAATACATTAAGTGCAAGTTGTTTAAGAATCTCTAGTAAGTTATCACTTCATGTTTTGCCTTACATTTTTCACTTAAGCAAAAATTCTTATTTTTTTCAATTTATCAAACATTTATTTCCTCTCTCTCCCCCAAGAGCGAAAAAAAATACAAAACAATACCAAAGCTCTTGTAACAAATATGCAAAGCCACTTTAGCAGCAAGAGTCAGACAGGTCACTCTCAAATGTCTCTCCTGAGAGGCCAAAGAACTCTCCCAGGAACAAAAGCGTCTTCCTGTAGGGTAATCTGCTCAAGACTAAGATTTATACAAACACACAGATGGCTCCAGCTCCATGGATATGCTTGAGGTTAGAGGGGTTAGAAGTCCACTCTTCAGTTTCCAGGTCTGACAGAGTCCTCCCTTCACATTCCAACAAGAATAGCTGCCTTTAAAACCTGGTGTCCAATGTGAGGTGGGTCCTAAGAATGGGCCTACCCAGGAATATCTCTAAAAGATATGGAAGGGGACAGCAAGGTGGCGCAGTGGATAGAGCACCAGCCCTGAAGTCAGGAGGACCTGAGTTCAAATCCAGCCTCGGACCAAACACTTGACAATTACTAGCTGTGTGACCCTGGGCAAGTCACTTAACCCCAACTGCCTTAAAAAAATATGGAAGGGTCCACCACTTCAGAAAATAAAAACTGGGAAGCACTTATGCACTGTCTTATCTCTTGACCATAGATATATTTTAAGAGGTTCATAGTGAACTATGAATCACAACTATAATTTTAGATTGAATATATGATTTAGTTTTTTTTAAATTCTCTTCTTGCCAAACAGAAAAATATGACAACCAAGGGTAATACTTTTTAGAATATGAACTCATTTGTAAAGGACACTGGTGAAGACTACAAAGTAATACTGCCTCGTAAATCAAAAAGTAAATCAAAGAAAAAACAAGTATGTATCAATCTTGGCAAGATGTTTCATCAAACTAGATCATCCTGAAAGTTTAAGTGTGAAACTAAGAAAACAACAAATACCTAAAACATGGAAATAACCTTTAATTTATTTCTACAGAAACTACTGCTCAACAGAACTATACAGTGGAGAAATGTTATTACCCTACTATTAATTTTCACATAGGTATAAAACATTAATTTCATCTCCCTAATGTTCACTAGGCTTTCGGATAACCTTTTTACATGGCATAAAATTGTGGTGGTTACAGTTCATGTTATTTTCAAGGGATCCAATTCTGTTATAATAATAGTGAGCATGTGTAATAAAAAAAGGACTATATACATTAGTTCTAAGCTGTTTACAGCTATTAAAAAGGGGTCTCTGTTGCGGTGGCTTATACTTGGCAGACCTTAGGTTTTCATTAAAACAAAATGCCCTTTCTACTGACGTTGTGTGTGTTTGTGTGTGTGTGTGTGTGTGTATGTGTGTAAGATAAAAAAATAAATAATCATTGTTTTTAGCCAAAAAGATTCATTTATCTCTAACCTAACAACATTTCACTATCATTGAGTCACATATATTTAGCGAAACAGCAAGGGTCTAAATTGAAAAAACGAAAACCTACCTTTTTAAAGATTAAAAAAGAAATCATAACAACAACTGGAAGCAGTAATGTCTTTAGGTACCTCAGTGGAGTCTGAAATACAACAAGTAATTTTAGAGAGTCTATGAATTTGATTTTACTTTGTACAGAGAAATAGTTGTAGGTATTTCTTTTCATTAATGAGTACCACAATAGCAATTCCTGCAAGAAAAAAGGCCATACCACATAAGGATTAGAAATTTCATTATCTCCTTGCATATAACACAGTAATTTAACTAGTCCAACTATTATAAAAGAACTTAATTTTATCATTAAGAATTTAAGAAATATTCCATCAAACCTAATGTTAGGATTTTGCTCAGCTTTTCCACTATTTTGATTTTATCCTTTATTATCTGAAATACTATTCAATTTCCCAGTCTGACATCATTGATCAATTTGTCACCTGTGGCAGTATTCTCTGTTGTCATTAACTCATAAATACTGGGCTAAAAAGTCAGCCTGCTTGAGTGCCGCTCGCTAAGATTCCTTCCAGCTCTACACCTCTGATCCAATGATCCCGAGTTATTACAACTTAGAGCGTAAGAGACAGTGCAATGTAGTAAATGGACCTCAGGGACTGAAGTAAAGAAGACATGAGTACAAATCCAACCTCTGACACCTAGCTGTGTGACCCTGGTCAGATCACTTGAACTGTGTACATTAAACATCTCCTTCAGAATCAACTAATAGCTAATGGGTTGGAAGTCATAGAAGAGTGTATGGAACTCCCTAAGATGATGAAATTATAAAACCTTCAGCTATAACAGTAAATAGCAACTACTGAAAAAATCATGGATAAATAGACTTTAAAACTTGTTATTCTGATACACAATGAAATACAGTAAACAAAATAACTTTTTGTCCTACTAAATTAAGAAACCTGGGTTCTTGTTCTGGCTTTATTGTGTACCTTATAGCAAATTTGTTCTTGGTCTGGGCTTTAGTTTCCTCAATTGTAAAATGATAATACACTCCATGAGGGTCAATACCCTGCATTATTTCCACCTTGTATCTCACCCAATCCCCAAAGAGTATTCTTCATAAAATAGGTACTTGAGAAGTAAGTACATGTTAGTGGGTGAAGATGACCTATAGGCTACCTCTTAAACTCTCTAATTTCATAATTCTAAGATATAAAATCTGCTTAATAATATATTTAAGAGGAAGAGGGAAAGGAAGAGAAAAGAGAATTGCAGATAATGTAAAAACAAAAAAAATCAATAAAGATCTATTGAAGAAAGAAAAACGAAATATAAAACACTTAAAATGAGTTTTATTACAAGACCTTAAATATCTATTTAAGTACAGTATTCTATTTGAACTGAATTTTATTATTTATCCTAAGAAGTTGACAATATATCTTCTTGGAAATACCTTGTTATCAGTTTGCTAGAATTCCAATACATAATATTTGAAATAAAACTGAATTTCTTTTAAAAATATTCTGTAGTTGTTACTTTTCACTAATTCAGACTGGCTTCCTTTCCAATTAGACCTAATTCCTGAGAGAGCTTTTCCTCTCAATGAGTAAAAATGTATATAAGTTACTAAGCCAAATATCACAAAGCTACACAGACTTGAGGGTTCAGGATCAAAGAATAATAGGAAAAAAATGCCTGTGATCCCTCTAACAAAGGTAAAATAGGAAAAAAAAATCTTTTTTTGTTGTTAATTTATTTTTAGTTTTCAACGTTTACTTCCACAAGATTTTGAGTTTCGAATTTTCTCCCCATCTCATCCCTCCCCCCAAATATCACAAAGCTACACAGATTTGAGGGTCTAGGATCAAAGAATAATAGAAAAAAAAATGCCTGATTCCTCTAACAGGTAAAAAATAGGAAAATAAATTCTTACCTCCTTTTCCATAAAGTCAAATTCAGGAGCACAGGTATACATCAAAGTGTCAAAATCTGTGTATCTTAAAATTTTGGCAATTATGAGGTCACTAAGATGAATCTGGCATGAAATTAAGTAAAATACAACAATCAATCAATAAACATTTATTAAGTACTTATTATGTGCCAGGGACTGTGCTAAGCACTGGGGATATAAAAGGAGGCAAAAGACAGTCTCTTCCCTCAAGGAGCTTATAATCTAATGTGGAAAACTACAAGCAAACAAATATGCACAAAGCAAGCTATATACAGGATAAACAGGAAATAATTAACAAAGTGAAAGCACTAGATTTGACAGGGGTTGGGGAACGCTTACAGTAAAAGGTCTTTTTAGCTGTTAGTGAAAGAAAAATAGTGAGGTCAGTAGGTGAGGAGGAAAGGAGAGAGCTTTCCAGGCATTCAGGACAGCTAGGGAGAATGTCTGGAGCAGAAAGATCAGTATCTTGTTTGTGGAACAGCCAACTAGACAGAAGAGTATGCGTTAGGGAGTAAGGTGGGAAAAGCCTGGAAAGGTCAAAGGGAGCTAGGTTATGAAAGGCTCTGAACACTAAGCCTAGGATTTTGTACTTGATCCCAGAAGCAACAAGGAACAACTGGAATTTACTGACGTGGGGTGACAGGGTTGGACCTTCATTTTAGGAAAATCACTGGAGTGGCTAAACGGAGGATGGATGAGAGTAAGGAGGCAGAAGCACCATCAGCTCCTGCAATAGTCCAGGTGTTGGATGATGAGGGCCTATACTATAGCAGCGGCAGTGTCAGAGGAGAGAAGAAATACTGGAGAAGCAACCATGAAATAATGCCTAATAAATCCTCTTGTATAATAATTAGAGGAAAGCACTTACATGATCCGAAACAGCAAGGAGTTGAGATAATAGAATTTTCAAAATAATTGTTCCACTCCACCAAAGAAAACACTGAATCAGCTACAAAATAAAAGATAAAAACTCAGGTACTAAAAATTACCCATATCAAATAACCTAATATGTTCTTATGACAAACGAAAAGTATAGCCCCTCCAAATGTATGCAAAGGGGATTTCTAGATGTGGCAAACTGGGAAGCCTCTGCTTAAGGGTCTGGATTGTAAACGTAGGCCATTGTTACAAGCACTAAAAATAAATATATTCTAACCCAACAAACTTAAAAAGAAAAATCATCCCTAGAAGTTGGGTTTTTTCCCTAGATAAAACACTATTTTCTTTAGTGAAAATCCTAATTTTTTTAGTATTAAGATTTACATATAATAAGAATTCTCTCTGGACAGAGTCATGACCTATAATTAAATCATCCCTGTTAACAATCACTTCAGATATTCTTTGATCAGCTCATCTATCTTTCCAACAAGCATGTGGGCAAAAATAAAAAGAAAGATTGTACAAGTATAAATTATTTCCTATTCATCTAAAAGAAAGAGTATCTGGGCTGGGAGCTTAAAGTCCTGAATTCTAGTCTAATCAAATTACAATGTGACTATGGATTGATCATTTATATCTGTGTCTTAATGCTGTTAAGAAAACATGAGATAAAAGATATTAAAACACTTCCATTCTTTCTGAATAGCTATATCTAGTAACATTCCTATTACCCAAAAATCAGTCTCTCAGAAATCTCAACCCTTGAAATAGAGTTGTGAATTTGGAAATAAGTGAAAAAGTTTTGTTAAAGTAATGGAAATAGTTTTCTATAAAAAAAAAAAGAATCCTATACTCTGAAGAAGAACTCATTAGGCCTTTACTCAGTCTTACTGATTTTAACAGACAATTTTAATGACATTAGTTACTTGTCCTAGTCCACAAAGACAAAAGTTAACAAAGTAGGAGAGGAAGTGGGAGAGAACCTAGAGGCAAGTATACTTAGAGCAGAAAGAAGTGATACGTAAAGAAGGGTCTGACATGGAAAGAGGATTTAGAAAAACTAAAATACAAACAGAGAACGCATGGCAGAAAACAACTCACTGTAGCAACCAGCAGCCTTATAAATCTGTGACCCAAATGGATCACTGTACTATAATCCAATAATGTATATTCATAATGATGATCCAAAGTCATCAAGAAAAAGTTAAGTTATGTCTATTATACTCTGTTTAAGAGGACAGAAGTACATAACATACCTTCACTTACAAAAATAGTTAAATTTTTTTAAGCATAGGCTTCCAAAAGCAGTTATGGGCAAATATCTTCTGTTGAAGAACCAAATCTTCAATGGTACTGAATAAATAATTGTGACTCTATTTTTATTTAATTAAATTCATATGGTGAATAAGACAGTATGATTCTTTTCAAGGTATATCAACTTAGCAAGACTACTACCTATGGTACTGATCATGAATGTTATTTATGGCATTTCCATATGAAAAAATCAGGCCTTCCCTAACTGGGTAATGAATTTCAGTATAATGTAAAAAATGTTGAAATTTTTTATTCTTACCTAAGAACAATATGGAATGGATTCAATTGTCTAATCTTTGTTATTAATATTAATAATGATAAATAATAGAATCATGTCATAGATTTAGAGCTAGAAAGGACCTAAGAGACCATCAAGTACAACCTTCTCATTTTACAGATGAAGAAACTGAGTCCCAGGGAGATGAAGAAACTTGTCTAGGGTCTCACAGGCAGAGTTTCCTAACTATAAGAATAGAGCCTTATCCAGTCTACTTACTAAACTTGTTGTTGTTATCAGATCATTTGTAAAGTTAAGTAGTTGGAGTTGGTATGGTGTATAGAAGGGCGTTTAGATTTATGGGAATGGGAGGATAAGGGAGGGATCCTTCAGGGGTGTAAGTTAAATAATAGGAGGGCAAGGTAGCAGGTAAGAGTACAGTAGAGGAGTCAGGAGGGATAGGAAATAAGAGATACACACAAACATAAAAACAAAGACCAAGAGTAGAATTTGTTAGGGAAAGTACATGTCTATATATGTATACATATATGTATGTGTGTGTATATGTGTGTGTGTGTGTGTCTATGTATCTATCTAAAAATATCTGTGTTTAATTGTAGGCTTCTACGGCTGGGAAGGAAGATGGGAGAAAAAAGAACAAAGTACAAAGCATACAGCAGAGAACAAAAGAAAACTTACAAGGAAGCAAAGATGGACAGCTCTCAATATAATGCATAGTATTTATTATATATAGGCTTTCTTGAAATGGAAATTTATTGCTATATATTTTGTATCCTCTCTTATGTTCTGCTGTGCACATGACATAGGGAACAGCTAGGTGGTACAGTGGATAGAGTACCAGCCCAGGGAGAAGGACCTGAGTTAAAATCTGGCCTCAGACACTTGACACTTAGTAGCTGTATGACCTTGGGCAAGTCACCTAATCCCAACTGCCTCGCCCCCCCCCAAAAAAAAAGGAACAATATATAGCCATGTCTTGCTTGTGCAGGGGTTAGCCCAAAGTGCCCAGAACTATAACTTAAATTGTTCCTAGCTGGCCAGTAGGGAGTTTCCCCCCTCAATCAAAGGCCCTACCCCATCTAGGCAAGCCCTTCCAAATCTGCTAATAACAAAAGCAGCCTCTATGAGATCTATTACAAAGATCCATGGATTTCATCTTAAAGGCCAGTGTCTACTCCTACTGTCCTTTTAATAGGAAAGAACAAGAAGTGCTCCATTCCCCATTGGTAAAGCCACAAGTACTTACGTGGGGCTTTGCTCCCTCTTAGACCACCAGCCCAATAATTGTCCCACAATGGAAGAGCACTCCAACAGCTGTTAACCCTGTCCCTGCCAAACTTCTAGCAGACCTCCTGTGGCTACCCAGAGCAGAGAAGAAGGGGGACGTACCAGAGAGGTAGGGTTCCTACCATCAGGATCTCATGGCCTCTGGCACAAACACAACTATTATCATAAAATTCTTCGGCATTTTGGGGCTCCAAACCTCAGGCAGCTCGCACAACAGCTCGGTACACAAGGCTCTCAAGGGACCACATACATGATACAGGGGCATAACCACAGGAAGAGTTGCCCAGTACCCCAAGGGTAGGATTACTCTGTCATGAAGAGCTCTCCCTTTGCTCCACAACTCTTTCCTTCCAAGATTACTTTTCACTTCCAAGTCAGTGCTCTGTGACTATAAGATCACGAAAAGGCAATGAGGAGTTCTGGGCTCTCCCTGACTTCATATATGTCTAGAATAACAGAGAAACTGGGATTCTCATTACACGGCTGTCTTCCTGCACCCACTGAGAAACTGCTTTGCATATCAGATCAAGGTAACAATGCAAACGTCTTCACATATTTAAAGTCAGCACAGGAAAAGAACCCATCTAGGACAATAAATGGAAGTTATAAGGAAGCAGATTTCTGATGAACATAGGGAGGAATCTTATAATAATAAGAGCTGTCCAAAAATGGAGCAGAATGCTTCACAAAATGGTAAATTCTCCATCACTGAAATTATTCAAGCATCATTGCACTGAATCAAGGGGAAAAGTCGCCTGAATGGGTTCTGTGGTTCCTTCCAGTTCTAAGATTCTGGTTGTATTAGTCTTGTATTTGGGAATGATTTGAGATAATCTTGACATATTCCCCAAGAATTTAATTCTTATTAGACAGAAACTTAGGTTTGACAAAAATCTAACTTAGTAATAATTTCTTCAGTAACATACTTATTCTGGCTGTCAAAGATATATACTAGGAAAGGATGAGTAAAGGCAGACAAACATTTGTTCATTTTTAGTGGAGTGAAAGGAAGATGAAAGACTGGAGTTAAGCTAATATGATAAGGCAGAGTAGAGGAAAGGTGATATGAAGGAGATGGGAAAGGGCAGAACAGAACCCAAAGGATACCATGAAAACACAAGAAACTAAGTACAGTAGATGAGAGGAAAAAAAATCAATAAGCTATGGAAGAGTAGTACGCATGTTCAAAAGGAAGTAAAGGGATGAAAAAAACTGGAGAACCGAGCAACATGGCAGAAACGTAGAGAAAGGAAAAGGAAAAACAAAGCAATAAATGGAAAAATTATTTGCAAATATTGCTAATCTCTCCTAGTTATTGTTTCTTGATAGGTGGCATTCTGTAATCTAAGTTTTTTTTTTCCTCGAAGTATGGTACTGCCTACATAAATTAAATTTAAAGAAATGGTATTTAATTAAAACAGATTTTTAAAAAAACTGCTAAAACTCATTAAACCTTACCCATACGGTACAGCCAGATGATTGCAATTTTTGGACTTTACTTCTTTTTTTCACAAAACCCTTGAGAGAGAGAGAATTACATAAAAGAAAAATGGAAAATTTAATTAGCACTTGGATATATTTTATACTTGGGGCAGCCAGATGGCTTAGTGGTTAGAGTGCCAGGCCTGGAGTCAGGAAGACTCATTTTCCTGAGTGCCTCAGATACTTCCTAGGTGTGTGACCCTGGGCAAGTCACTTACCCCTATTTGCCTCAGTTTTCTCATCTGTAAAATGAACTGGAGAAGGAAATGGCAAAGTACTCCAGTACCTCTGCCAAGAAAACCCCAAATGGGGTCACAGAGGTTTGGACACGACTGAACAAAAACATGTTAGACTTACTGCAGGGTTTAAAAAGGTATATAACTGTTCTTCCCAACTCTTTATTACCCTCCAGTAACTCCTTCTTCGGTTCTAACTTCTTTGGAATACTACACATGATAAAACTGCTGGGGGGGGAAACAAAACTGTGTGATAATAAGTTGGATGCTGCTGACAAGAGCATTTATCTTTTGGAGGCAGTTCTATAACTACTCAACATAAAATTATAGCCAATCAATCAGCTTGTCTTTTAGCAGAAAGGAGCTCTGGGCCTTTTCCTGAAAGGTCACTCCATCAAAGTGAAGTGGCATAGGACGTAGTCAGGGGAGCTCCACCTGGAAATGTAAAAAAGCAGATAAGATGTTAAGAAATTACTCTGGCTGGTTCTAGTAATGGTATCTCCTAGTAGGCCTCCTAGGAGGCAGTGAGACTGAGGAAGTCATCCCACACCATACCCATGGACCACGTAAAACCCAATGCTATAGCCATAGGTTCACCATCTTTCTCATATCTATTACAGGGGCCCTTTGCACACTTGACATAGAAATGATTAACTATCACACCAGAATGCGTACTTCAAAATGTGCATTTTTATTGAAGTGCAATGCCATTACTCAAACATATCTGACCCTGCCTTCAGAGCTATTCAAAAAAACATTTACACTGCACCTGAAAGGGCTAAAAAGTTCACTACATATAATACAATTATCTTCTTTGATCCTTATAACATTTTGGGAGATGTAGGCTACAACTCTGATTGACCCATTTTACAGATAATGAAAACTGAGCTAAAGAGGATTGTAACTTATTCACAGGGCAACCTGGTCATTGTTAGGGGCAGGATTTCAATATCAGTTTCCCATGATTCCAAGGCCAGCTCTCTTTCTAATACTCATTTCATTATATGACTTTATTTTTGACCAAAGACATCATTAACTAACTTAATCACTCACCATAACTCACTCTCTGAATGGCTTTTTCAAATGGCCGATTTCAAAAGCAGAGTTTCCAAATATTTTAGGCAATAGCAACATCCTAAGAGTAAGTGATATAGGTGACTGATGTGACAGTATCTTAACAAGGTGTCTTAATACTGCTAAGGCAGGTTTTTTAAGCATGTTTTGCCAAGACGAGAAAGGAAATAGACTTTATTTGGGAAATTCCTGCTTTATTAATGAAAAAATAAGAAACTGTACTCTCCGTTACATCTCTTAAGGCTGGGTCAAAAACGTTTTCTATTTAATGGGGGAAAAAATTATACTAGCTGAGCAAATACTTACCCACGTTATTATCAAAGAGGAGGCAAAATAAGATGACAAATACGTGTGATTTCCAAACGTTAAAACAAAACAGATTGCAATAGAAACCTGGAAAAAACAAAAAAGATAAAATAAGATTATGTAATATTTTGTTAAACATATAGAGCATATAGGCAATGTGCATCTTCTTTTACAAAAGTAACTGTTATGGGCAGGAATAAGAATAAGGCTAAAATTAATGGATTTAAGTAAAACTCTAATGCAATTCCATGGAATGGAAGTCTTTCAGCAATAAGATGAAAGACCATAAGCTATATGCAGCCCATTTATTCATTTATTCTTCGTCTATACTTTGGCCAAAAATTAATAAGAAATAAAATCAACTTCACTACTTTTCAGAGTACAAAGGAAAACTAAGTTACAGATCCTAGTTCTCTATCTTATTTTAATATGTCCTCCACTTTTAAGTGTCTTGTCTGCTGCTGAATGAAGATGTATTCAGTAACCAAAGTTAAAAATAGAACTGAAATGTCCAGTTTTCTTCGTCTTTTCTATCAAGAAAGAGATCTTTACACCAAAAGGAGAACAACAAAAGTGGTCACTAGGAACTGAAGTCCGAGATGGTAAAGTGACGGATGATAAGACTATAGAGCCCAAGGTTCATCTCTTGGTTGCCATGAACTACACCATGGACTACTGGAAGAACGGGATGCTCTCTCTCTCAATGATGCTGATGATCTCTGAGTAATCTGCAAGAACAGAAGAGCTGACAAAACACTGGAGCTGATAAACATTCCCAAACAGAAAGAAAGTAGATTCCACACACTGGGCATGGTGAGCTTGTCCCCAGACAAGAGCAGATTGCCAATCTGGTAGTTTGCAAATATTTTAAAGGACAGGGATAAGTTCATTAAGAACAAATTATGCCATTTCCAACTCTGACTGTCTTAGAATGTTAGGGTTAGATGCCTCAGTAAAGAGTGCTGGGCCTGGAGCCAGTAAGACCTGAGTTCAAATGTGACCTCAGATTACCAGGGGGTGACCCTGGGTAACTTGTCTGCCATAGTTTCCCCAAACATAAAATGGAGACAACAGCACCTATTTCTCAGGGTTGTTGTGAGGGTCAAATGATATTAAAAAGTGCTTAGTACAGTGGCTGGAATATAGCAGATTCTGTATAAATTCTTCTTCCCTTCCTAACTAGATCTATAGTTATATAGACATAGTGTATCTTGATTGTGGCAATGCATTCAGCAAAGTTTACCTATCTTTATGGAAAACAGAGAAATATCTAAATTAAAGTACAATTAGATGGATTCATAAATAATTGAATGGTACGTTGCAAAAATTTTAAGTTAATCAACTAATGTCAGCATGGTGGAAGGCTTCTATTAGCATACCAAAGACTTTGTTCTTGGATCTTGTTCTATTCACAGCATTATTAATAACTGTAATGATAATACAGAGGATATGTTTGTTTGCTGTTAAATTTGCAGATAAGAAGCTGAAAAGAGACAGGCTCTTACACTGGAACCCAGAGTGAAGAACCAAAAAATAAAACCTTAACAGGCTAAAACCAAGGGCTTATTCTAACAAAATAAAATGCAATAGGGATAAATGCAAAGTTCTACACTTGGATTCAAAAAGTCATCTGCACCAGTACAAGACATGGAAGACAACGTTAGATGGGAATTTATAAGAAAAAGACTTACGAGTTGCAGCAAGTTTAATATGACAGGTGATACAGAAGCCAAAAAAATTAATACAACTTCAGGCTGCACTAATGAAATATAATGACCAAGGTAAGAGTACTCCGCACTAGAATGTTTAATCACCTTTTGTGAGGGACACTGAAAAGTTGTAGCCTTCTTTGAGAATGCCATCTACAATAGGTGTCTCCACATTATTTCCTCTCACTCTCTTCTTATCTCCACACAATCCAGGTTCTTTCCTCATTATTCAAAGGAAAGTACTCTCTCCTAAGTTAATGGCCAAATCCAATCACTTTTCCCCCCCACTCCTTATTGTCCTTGACCTCTCTGCAGCTTTTGACACAGTTAATCGCCTCCCCCTCCTTGAAATTCTCTTCTCTTTGGGTTTTTGGGACAGCCCTCTCTCCCGGTTCTCCTGCCACCTATATGATCACTCCATCTCCTTTTGATGGATTTTCATCCAAGTCATGCCTTCCAACGGTAAGTGTCACACAAGGCTCTGTGCTGGGCCTCTTCTCTATTCCTTCTCTACTACTCCACTTAGTGATTTCATCAGGTCTCACGGATTTAATTAATATCTCTGTCCCAATCCCTCAGACTCACAACCTCTCCTCACTTACTCTCACGCCCTGCATTTCCAAGCTATTACAAAGGTCTGTTGATTTTACCTTTGCAATATATCTCAAATATGCCCCACTTCTCTACTCCGACACAGGCCCAACCCTGGTGCAGGTCCTCATCCCCAAACTATTGCAATAGCGGCTGAGGGGTCTGCCTGCCTCTGGTCTCTGTCCACTCCAGTCTAACCTCCACACCATAGTCAAATTGATTTTTCTATAGCACTGGTCCAACCCTATCAGTCCCATAAATGCCAATCCTTCACAACCTAACCCTTCCCTCACATTTCCAGTCTTCTTAAACCTTACACTCTTATCATATATTCTTCAATTCAGTGACACCAGTCCCCTGACTATTCAACAAACAAGATTCTCCATCTCACCATTGTAGGCATTTTCTCTGGCCATCCCCCATACCTGAAATGTCTCCCTCTTGTCTGCCTTCAGGCTTTCCCGACTTCCTTCAAGTCCCTGCTAAAATTCCACCTACAAGAAGCCTTTCCCAATCCCTCTTGATTCAAGTCCCTCCTCTCAGTTCATTATTTCTTATTTATCCTGTATATAGCTTGTTTGCACATGTGTTTGCTTGTGGTCTTCAACATTAGATTGTGAATTCCTTAAGGGCAGGGACTGTTTTCCCTTTCTATATATCTCCAATGTTTAGCACAATGCTTGGCACTTAAATGCCTCTGACTGACTGTCCAACCTGTCCAGAGGAGAAGGAATTGTATGTGGAACAAGCTAAGTAATTAGAGGAACTGTGAAGCAAAGTGGAACGTAGTTGAGAGTAGTACATCTGACTTGGAGTCTTAGACCTGAATTTGAATCCCACCTAAGACACTAACTAGCTTTGTGAACCCAGGCAAGCCATTTAAATCTAAGTCTCAGTTTACTTATCTATAGAATAAGGGGGTTTTGACTTAGGGATCGCTCAAGTCCCTTATAGCTCTAAAAAAATATGTACTTATCTTTAATTTGAAGAAGAAAAATGTAGAGTACATATAGTTACTGGTTTTCATATATGGTCACATGAAAAGTAAAGGTCAGTGAAATTACTTGGATTCCTAGCAAAATTCTAGGATGTACTGTTGAAAGGAAGGTTAGTGAAGAACTCACGAAAAGTCCAAGAGGAACAGGGATTCTGTATGGATGATGATGTCAACCAAATATCTCTCTTTGCAAATGATACTGGGCTGACTGCACTGAGCTCCAGAGAGCCTTCTAACTGAGATCCATAATCACTTAAAAGATTTTAGCCAAACTGTCCAGATATGAAGAGCCAAACTGATGAAGAATACCTTATTAATATCCAAACATGATGTGTATTTGAACAAAATGCAAAGATAATTCATGTCTTAGACAATACAAATGGGCCTAGAACTGACCAGGAAGAATGTGACTAGACTACCTTCATAGGGAATTCAAACTTCCTTTAATGACTACAAGATTTTCCCTGAAACTAAGGCCCATCTCTTTATTTACAGTTTTTGTTTTTATATTACCTCCATTTTTTAATATATCCCCTTCCCCTGCTACAACCAACAAGGTATTTTAACAAAGAAGAAAAAGCAATTTAGAAAAATTAAGCAGCACATCAACCAAGGATGATAATATACGCAGTGTTCCACGCCCACAGTCTCCCACCTCTGGCATGAAAAAGTAGTTCAGTTCACTGTCCCAACTCTCCTCTGGGATCATGATGGCTTGATGATTCTAATTAAACTGCCTTCCGTTTCTTTTTTACAATCCTCTCCACTAAAGCACCGCAGGTAAAGGTGCAGGTGGCTCACTTCACTCTGCATCAGTTTCTCCAAGTCTCGCTGCTCAGCTTCTCTGCACTAGGCCTCCTCAGTGTTTAGCACAGTGCCTGGCACACAGAACATGCCCTTAACAAGTACTTCTTGACAGACAGAGCTCTTCAAATTCATCACATCTTCCCAATTATATTTCATTATATTTATACTAGCCATTTTCCAAATGATGGAAAGCAAATACTCTTGCAATGGGGTTAATGTCTTTAAGTCATGAAATACAACACACTCCTTCAAGATCAAGTTGAGCCAAGATATATGATGAGTCAGAGCAGGCAAAGATTATAAAGAAGAAGCAGCATGAAGGATATCACCAAATAAATGTAGGCCTAAAAAAGAATACAGGCTGATAGTATGGTAAGAATAAGAATGAACCCATGGCCAATACCTTGGGATACCAAGAGAATTCAAGGAAGGTCCTCTATACGTAAGGTCGTTCCTTTGGGCTGAACATTCAAGAGAACCCAAATAAGATGGGCAGACATAATGGGTTGGAATATGCCTATGAAAGAAACATCCACATCAACTGGACCTCAGCACTACTGTAACAGAGTGATGGAGTGATGGCCACAGAGACCCATAATGTCTTCCTCAACAACAGGGTTTATCAGACAATGACTTTTATTTCTGATTTGGACACAGATACTGGATGGGTATGAGTTAGCCTGGCATGGTAGAGAGAATATGAGACTGAAACCCAAGATGACCTGAGTTCAAGTCCTACCTTTAACACAATCCTGGCTATGTGACTCTGAGCAAGTCAACTGACTTCTCAGTGCTCCTCAGAGGTAAGACATTAAGTTGAGATAACATACCAACATGCATCAGGGGAGGAAGTTTCTTTACCAAGAAATTCACTATAATAATGATTTTAGGTCCAGTCCATATCTCAGCCCCACTAGACTGGTAACTCAGAACAATGCTGTAAGTACAGTTTACCTAGATTTTAGTAAAGAATCATG